AGCACAAAAATTACCACTTTTTGCTCTGGGAAGCCCCCGTGGTGTTCAACTACCAAAACCAAGCGGGGAAAAGATTATTTGCACAGAGTTGAGAAGAGGTTTTTGCAGATTTTCTTGTACAGATTTGGCCCAGACCAGTTAAAGTGCAAGCTATTAGTCAGCATGTTTAGTCACACAGCAAACATTTCTCTCTGTCCTCTTGGCGTACAGTTTCCAGATGGCAGCCCAAATCGACCTCTTTACAAACACAGCACAAGCCTTTTAAAGTAATGCCTCATATTTTGCAAATCAAATCTGCGTCATCCATAATCAGGACATACGGGTTTTCTCTGGAGAATAAGTTCTCAGTCCCATGGACGCGGTAAAGCTAGCGGCGGACCATTTATCAATCATTTTAACATAAATGTCTGTCCGTGTGACATTTAGAGAGACAAACTGCAGAATGTCTCTATGGAAACAGTTTAGCTGTAGCACATCCAAGAGGAACAACACCCTGTATGATAATCACAAACGCAGCCTGGAAGGAGAGAAGTGCTTTTTATTCGAAAGGCAATGTGAAGCTACATTTTACATTATTTTATTCATAAAAAAAGAAAATATTACGAAAAATATTAATCTTTTACCTTGATCTTAGGAAAGTGGTCATGCCCCTGTGCTTCGCACTGGTGAGGCCACACCTCAAATACTGTGTTCAGTTTTGCGCCCCTCACTACAGGAAAGTTGCTGGAGCATGTCCAGAGGAGAGCCTCAAAGCTGGTGAGGGGTCTGCAGCACAAGTCTTACGAGGAATGGCTGAAGGAACTGAGGTTGTTCAGCCTGGAGAAAAGGAGGCTGAGGGGAGACCTTATCGCCCTCTACAACTACTTGAAAGAGGCTGTAGCGAGGTGGGGGTTGGTCTCTTCTCCCTGGTAATGAACGATAGGACAAGGGGAAATGGCCTCAAGTTGCGTCAGGACAGGTTTAGGTTGGACATTAGGAAAAATTTCGTCACAGAAAGGGTTGTCAGGCTCTGGAATGGGCTGCCCAGGGAAGTGGTCGAGTCCCCATCCCTGGAGGTATTTAAAAGATGGGTAGACGAGGTGCTTAGGGACAGGGTTTAGTTGTGGAATGGCAGTATTAGGTCAACGATTAGACTTGATCTTAAAGGTCTTTTCCAACCTAAATGATTCTGTGATTCTATGATCTGCCTGCACATAGAGAGCAAGAGCACACACAATAAGGAGCCTAGCCTGAAACAACATTCTTTCAAGTGTCCAGGAATAAAGAGGGGTGTTGAGTTTTACCTTCAGAAGAATCTTGATGTTGAATGAAATGTTTTCCAAAAATCCTGCCCCTGGTTTCTTTTGGAAGAACTGATCTCACAGGAGTCATCAGCAATCACTTCTAATTACTGTCTCTATCCTGCTTCAACTGATACCTATTCCTCACCATTTCACCTGTTCCTCGCTGCTTCTTCAAACCGCACTAGCTTTGGAGCATTGTTTTTTTCATTAACACAACAGTTGAAATGACACTGATGGCACAAATAAAACACCTCAAATATGGACAGACTCTAATTCATTCATTTATGCTGTTTGGTTTTATTGAAAACATAGGTTGTTGGAGATGAAAGATGTGGGAAAGGAAATCCATGAATGCACAGGGCTTACTAAAATGGAAAATGGCAACATTCATATTGCAAATTTCAGAGCCTTCTATCAATATAACAAGTGTCCACTTAAAGGGCATATTTTGTTGCAAAATGCTCTACAATCCAGCACAGACAATATTTTGGTTTTTGCTGAATCACAGCAACTTCTGCAGTCATAACTACAGCAGGAAGAACCAAACTGAGACATCTTGGGAAAACTAAAAAAATAAGCATCTTTAAATCCCCTATCTCTTAAAATTGAAATGACTGAGTGGGGCAAGAAGGAAAGGCTAAATGAAGAAACAGGAGATGTATTGCTTTAAAATAAAAAACTGATACTTGTAAAAATTGACACCCAGGTTTGGAGAGAAACATGCTAGCTGCGAGGTAGCTTTCTGTGTTAATACTAAAATTGTATCACTGTGTTGTTACAAATGGTTTTCTCTGTGTTTTTCTTTAGTTCTTCAGCTGTAGTATTCACTACCCGAAAAGGCTGTTCTTAGTCTAGATCAAAGAAGAAAGAAGGTGTCCTGCAAAAGAAGTTGTAAAAAAAGAGTATGAATAATAATTCGGATAAGAAGGAAAAAGCTGTACTTGGCAGGATGAAGAAGGATAAAAAGGTGAAAGGCTGAAGGAAATTGCATAGGGGAGGGCGATTGATGTGTAAACCCTGTGAAGAAGAGGTTTTGAGAACTTTCTGGTGAATTAGTGAATTTTTGTTATTTCCTAAAAAAGGGGTTACTGTCATCTTCTCATCTTCAGAGATTTGAAAATGAAGCAGAGCATTTAAGCAACTGGATGGTGCTCTTTGGGGTTGCCAGCACAGGAGTCAAGACATGGGAGCTGGTGCCTGGTGGTCCCTGGCTCAGCCCGCCCCTCTCCCGCAGGTCGGCCAGAGACCGTCTGCTAGGGTGGGCTGGCAG